AGGTAAATATTAAGAAAATGGTAATGTTTCTTTAATTGTTAAAACTACAAATAAATATTTACTGAAATCCAAAGATTAGCTTTTGCATAATATGATAAAATATTTAGAATTTTTTTAAAAAATTCGGATTTTTTAAATTTATAATTCAGGTATACATTTGAATTAATTGCACAAAAAAATAGAATTGTTTTCCCAAATCTTAATTTTTTTTTATTTGTAATGTTTAAAAACTTTCCATAAATTCCAAATAATTAAATTCCATAAAATGGTTCAGAACACATGGTTTTATTGCGTGACCACCTGATTTAAAATGACACCAAATAATTAACTTAAGAGAACGTAGGTTCTCAGACATCTAATTAAATGAATTTCCAATATGAATTTAATTTGTCCAACATTTCTGTTCGTCTTCTATCTGTGAGTTTTCGACCAAAAGATACCGAAGAACCGCTGCAGGGTAATCAGCATTATTGCATTTAATACTGATATTTTCTGGCAAGGAACCAAGTTGGTCTCGCCGCATCAGAAGCACAGACCAAGTCGAATTCAATTACCATCCGTTGAGATTTCAATTTGAGTGTGGCTGCCTGCGATTCTCACTGTACCTGCTTGGAAAGAAGACCTGTGTGTCTGTTGGCAGCAAACCCATCCATTCCCATTCCCAATCCCCCTGCGAGTCTGCCAAGATGCTGGTCTGCTTCTTAGACTGGTAATTCTAGTCGCCTTGGCAACTTCGCGCTGCTGGCGGATGTGCAAATATTTTGATTAAATTTTCTCCATGGCAACTTTCTTTCCACGAAGCGAAGCTGCAACTGCAGCGGCAACCTCCTCATCATCAGTAGTGGCAATAGCAGTGGCAGTGGCATCCATCTCCCACTTTTCTGGCTCTGGTGTTCTCAGCCTCTCGGTGTGTGTGTGTGCATTTCCAGAGTTTTCTGCATTTTCCCCCCTGATTTTCAAACACGTTTCGCCACATCCTCGAACTTGACTTACGGATGGACGTAATTCCCAAAAATTATGGCGCAAAGTTCAGGCTGAAGTCTGACCCGCTTTAACACAACGACTTCATTCCGATGCACTGGAGAACCAAGAACTCATTAGAAAACTGAAAAGTTTTCATTTGCCAGCGAATGCAAATGAATATTAAACGAGGGGCGGCGGGAATGGGAGTTCCTTGTGGCTGCGTTTTAATAACTGTGGATTAAGTCTGCATAAATAATAATGATTATAAACTGTGTGAACCGCAGCCAGCGTGAAAATGCGCAGCCCGGAAAATTCCTTCTTCCACCCACGAAAAGTTTTTGCACAAGAAAATGACAAATGATCGCCGCGCAAAAGTATTCAAAAAGTAGCTGGCAAAGCAGCAAAAAGAAGGCGAGCTGAAACCGTGACAATAAACTTTTCTTTCCCGTTTTCCTACCCTTTTGTGCTCAAAGAAAATGCGAAAAATTCTTGGACTTTGTTATGCGTAATTTGAGGTTTCTTATACAGCAACCCGAATACCCGCGGGTTTTCCGCAGGCGGGCCTTTAATTTGCAGTTAAGTGTTCGACGAATTATCTCTGCAATTATTTCTGAAGGCTCTGATTAATGCAGAGCATAGATAAAGCGAACCGAACTAGAAAGCAATTTACGGGGCAACTATTCCCTCCACTTCTTCGTTCCCACCTGAGCTACCTGCCTATTGAATTTAATTGTATCTTATCTGGGCAGCCCAACAAGAGCGAAACTTAACTAGACTCATCAGGGAACGCACAAATTGCTCGACTCGCTTATCAGTCAATTAGCCAGGCGATAAGACGCAACACGAAAAAGCGAAAAGGCAGGTAAGACAGGTGAGGACGGTGAAGACAAGTAGCCTACGGGGAGAATAAAAGCAGGGAGAAGTCTGACAGACATTGTAACAATGGAAGCACTTATCAGCTCTACGATTACTTCCTCCCCTCGCTTTTATGTTTCTGTAATTTCATTCCCTGCTGTGTTTCCCTATCGCAGGAATTATAAAAGTTTCAATCCACATCCACTATCAAACCGGAAATGGGTATTTTTGGGCACACAATAAAGTGCAACTCATCAGGCGAACACTCGCAAATAAATAAACAAACGAGACTGAAACTTTTAAGAACTTTATATGTATACATTTGTAAATAAGAATATCCATGAATACCAGTAAAACAGACGAAAATAAATTAGTTGTGGTAGACGAAGAGAATTTTGTTTTCTAGTTTGTATCCTCTATACTCCGAAAATGTATAAATGTACGTATAAAATGCAGGAAAATAATCTGCAGATAACAACATTTTCGCCCCTTTAAATGCCATCAATATGAGTTTTTACGAAAATTTCAGCAGAGAACCACCAATATAGGCTAATGAAAATAACTGCAATTTTAGTGCAATAACCATGGAAACCCTAATACCCCGTCAAATTCTCGCTGGGAAATTCGGAATAAATGCCAGCATTAAATACCCATTTAGAGTTGAACATATTCCCAAATGCCAGATATTATGATATCTATGGCCAAATAGCTGCATTTCAAATTTGAACAGCCCACCGAGAGACCAAACCCCAAACCAAACATTGCGCATACGCCGCGTTCACCGCAGCCAAACGAATGCCGCAGCGACAGGAGAGCATTTTAATTAATATACAAATTTAAACGGGGGAATTTTAAGTTGCTGCCTGCAATCTATCAAAGCAGTCATCAATTATATAATGTCGGGAATTTTATTATGAAGGAGGTTCGATAAAAGATAAGTATTTGCGAGTGACTGAATTGGACGCCGGTTTGCCACTGATAAGTACTAAATTTGGGAGGGGAAAATTGACGAAAAGTGACGGCACAAATCCGGTAATTAGCGTGTTGTCGCCGTGTATTTTTGGCTGGTTCCGAAATAATAATTGAGATTGTCAACATTTGGTTTTGACGTTCCCCCACCCGTCGTTCGCCGACCTGTCTGCCAACTTTAATCGCTCTATTTTGCCAGGGCAAACTCCGGTTGGAGTGTGTGCGAGTGTTGCTGTTTTTACAGCTGACTGAGGACATGACATGCTGGTTACGACCCCTCCGCCACCCAAAAGTCTTTCTCTTTTGTTTTCATTTTATAAGCGCATACAACGGAAATTGCCAACATAGCAGGGGGAAAATCGCAGGGGGTCGCGGGCCTGATGGCACTTGAACCCAACGAGCCATAACAAAAGGCACACGAAGTAATTAACTTGTATTTATTGTATGCACACATAGTTGCCATGGTTAGTTTGCCGGGCCAAAGTCCCGGGGCGGCGGGGAGTGGATGATGCTGCCCTCTAATTGATAAGCTCCCAGTTGGATTGGCCCTCGATCCACGGTCCCTTTCCCTGGGCGCTCTGCTCTCATCTGTCCTGGCCAGCATGTGCAGCCAATTACTTTGGGCCAGAACTGCAATCTCCCGCCGGCGCGGTGGTCAAGAAGCCTTGAATGAGTGCCGATCAAGGCCCCGACTAATGTTTATTAGTTTTCATCTTCTTTTTATTCGCTTTTTCCCTAATAGACAGCGCACTCGAGGCTATGGAAAATAAGGTAAATTAGCTTTGCTACCGGGATTACACTTTATAAAGTGTGGTTTCGTCTTCCATATATTTTTTAGTCTTTCACTCTAGTTACCAAATAAATTGATTTGTAAAAGTAAATGTATTTATTGAATTTAGAAAATCTCAAAACAACACATTCATCTAATTTGCAAACTCCTAGAAACAAATTAATCAGCTAAACGGAACCACTTTATAAGCCTTTAAACTAAACCAAATTAGAAAATTATAATTAAAAAACTTTGTTTTAATGTGGAACTTTTCTCCTCAACTTTGATTGGAGTGCTTCGACCAGGGTCAGGGAAATAATCCTGTCACTAATTCGATTGAAAACAATATCAAACGCAACCTTAAGCATTTGCCATTCAAATAACCCACTGCGCAGGCACTCCGAACCACTCGCTAATTGGATTAGCATCGAAGGGTATTCAACTGCGGTTAGCAGGCGAGCAAACCACAATTTCTTGTTTTCCGCGTTTGTTGCCTCTATGGCTGCTGCTTCTTCTTCTCGGTAGATGCACTGCACCAACCTGACACGCAACTTTACTCTCTGTGGGGCAACCACTTGAGCTCCTCACCCTAGTAAACTTCAATGCACTTGAAAAAATATCCCGAATTCTTTAGTGGTTTAAAAGGGAGTGAGATTAGGGAAACTTAAAAAAATATGTTGCATACTTTTATACACCTTTTTTTTTAAATTCAGATAAATAACTTTTTCTTTTACCTTTTATCGTTCAGTAATGTTACCTTATTACCTTATACAAATTAATAAAAAACATTTTCCTAACACTTAAATTTTACAATGCTTAAAACTGCCCCACAAAAGACCATTTTGGATGTGAAAACGCCCTAATTAATGCCCGACTCAGGTGCCCTTTTCTGTGCATGCTTGGCATGATGGTCTGCATTGGACATGGACTCCACACTCCCCTGTAAGTCCACCTCTGTCCCGTTCTGTTTGGTTGGCTTGGGGGCTCAAGTGGCGTGTCCATGTCATTTACCTGGCAGCCACTCAAGTGGCAAGAGCAAAGGTGCGCGGGGCAGGGAAAGGGGCAGTGGGCTCTGCGGATCGGTACAAAGTTCTGATGCGGTTTTTGCTGCAATTATATAATATTGACATTAGTTGCATGTTGGCCGTCGCTTTATGTTTGTGACGAGGCCGGAGATTGAGGGCTTCTTTGAGCTTCGAGCTTAATTGCAAACTGCAGAAGCAGAAGCAGCAGCGCAAGATGAAGATAAAGATGCGGCATCATCAGCAGAAGTCCAAAATCAATATTATCGGTAATGACTCAATTACTTGATTTGCGTTTCATTTTAATAGCTTAACGTCATATAAATTAATTGCATTCACCTGCCCTCGAGGGCTTGGATAAAGCTTAGGCTTGTGAAATTGAATCAGAATCTGATGGGTATTTTTGCATCTCTCGTCCACAGGCTCTTCCCAACGTCCCAACCGTTCCCAAAGTTCTTCGTTCACACATATCCAGGCGCTTCAGACTGATTGACTGCACAGACTGCTATAAACCATAGACGATATCTTCCAAGAGGACAAAGCATATCAAGAGGAGAGGAAAACAAAAAACCAAAAACAACAAACGATTGGAAAACGAGAAAAACATATCCTGCGTCATAAATCATTGCCTGGCTTTGATTAATGTTGCGTATACGCAATGTTGTCGGCTCCCGAGTCGGACTCTAACTAAGTGAAAGCTCAAATCGCTCAAAAAGAGAGATAGATAGCAACGGCTTCCATTAGCACCTCCTGGGTCACACAGAACATCATCATCATCAGCAGCAGGAGAGGTTGAAACCACAAATCCAGAAAGCAAAGATGGCCTTCATCTGGCGACGACGTTCCACGACGATTGTGAAGCTGGTGGCCTTTCTCCTGGCCATTTGGTTCTGCATAGCCTTTCTGGTCTACACGGACGACACTCGGCGAAGGGCCTCCCAGGAGGGGGGTGGCGCTAGTGGGGCGGGCAGCGCCCAGGGAGGGGGCGGAGGACTTGGCGATCCCATTGCCCTGGCCCTGAGGAACGAGCCCGCCGGCGAGGACTTGGGCGTCAATGGAAATGTCATCGGGGGCGGAGGAGGTGGCCAAAAGCAGGCGCATGATGAGGCCGATATCCCACCCACCGTGGGCAAACACAAGGTCGACCACCAGGCGGAAAGACTGCGCAAGAAAGCTGCGGAACAGCCCAAGAAGAAGCCACAAGACGGTGAGTCTGGATGATTTTAATTGAGCATATGAACAACACTTATTATGGTTTATGGGACTAGATATAAGTCGAGGGATTTTTCGGAGCTGGATAAAGTAAATTTGTATTTATTTAGTGATCAAACTTTTAACGAAAGAGGTTTAAGACCTACTTAGTTCAGATTTTTATTATTATTTTACTATTATATTTTACCATACAAGTTTTTTCACACTTTAAAAAAAATGGTCCGATTTAAAAAATTTCTTCTACATTTCGATAGGTATTGATAAACACAATAAAACTGCATTTTAACTTTTCCGAAAGATTGACATTTTTAAAATCGTATATAAGCGATTGTGGGCGCTAGAGGGGGCGTGGCACCCTTTTGAAGCAAACTTGCGCTGCGTAGGAACTCCTAGAATCTGCATGCAAAATGTCAATCTTCTAGCTTTTATAGTTTCCGAGATCTCAGCGTTCATACAGACAGACAGACGGACAGACGGACAGACAGACGGACAGACGGACATGGCTAGATCGACTCGGCTAGTGATCCTGATTAAGAATATATATACTTTATAGGGTCGGAAACGCTTCCTTCTACCTGTTACATACTTTTGCACGAATCTAATATACCCTTTTACTCTACGAGTAACGGGTATAACAAATAACCAAATTAATTACCTATATTTTGTTCAAAGTACCATACTAAATGGAATACGAGTTATGAGCTGACGACCTTTTTTGAAATCATAACAAACAAGAAAGGAAGCTACCTTCGGCCAGCCGAAGCTTATATACCCTTGTAGATAAAAGAATACTCACTCGGTGCAGTTTCAGGGATTCCAGATTCAGCGTTTCGATTTATTTCAATTTTGTTTTTAAGTAGTCAAGAATCAAAACGCCTACTTCCTACAAAGTTACAATGAATTTTCTTATATTTGTTTGGGAGCCTTAAGATATAGTGGTCCGATCCGGCTGGCTCCGACATATGTACTACCTGCAATAGAAAGAAGGCTTTCGGGAAAGTTTCATCGCGATAGCTTTAAAACTGAGAGACTAGTTCGCATAGAAACGGACAGACGGACAGACGGACAGACGGACAGACGGACATGGCTAGATAGACTCGGCTATTGGTGCTGATCAAGAATATATATACTTTATGTGGTCGGAAACGTCTCCTTCACTGCGTTGCAAACATCTGACTGAAATTATAATACCCTCTACAAGGGTATAAAAAGTTTGGTAATTTTTAAGTGTTTTTCTGATGAGTTTCTATCGATTTTGTAAAGTGTTTTCACTAAGAGAGGTTTATGTCTTAAAAACCTTTTTTAGGCACTTTTGAAATCTACTGTTTCACAAAGGAAATATATATCTTTTAGTTTCCATTTTAAAGACACTTATTGATTTGTGATGACTGAGCAAATGGCAGGGGAAAAAAGTATTCCTCCAATGCAAAATGTATTTTTTTTATATTGGCAATACTTTAAAAACTGGTTCAAAATACAACTTTTTTCATTTAGTTTAATTTTTCACCTCTAAAGAAGAGTTTCACAAAAATGCCAGCTTATTTTTACTTTCCAAAAGATTTATTTAGGGTTTTTCCTCGATTCTCCGCATTCTTGGCCCATTAGTGCCCATTGCACTTTGCATATCGGAATCCCTCTGTTCTGTGTTCAACAATAAGCATTTATATTGAAATCAGTTGCACATTTATTTCCGACTCAGATCCCTGCGATTTCCCCGCTGGCCGCCGAACTATTCAGCTGGATTTTTCCGGTCTTGTTATCGACGCCAGCGATTCTATTTTTCCTCGTGCAAGCTCCCTCCCTTTTTGCATCCACGAGTTGAGTTTTTTGCACTTCATTTCCACGCAATCGCTTGCAACTAATTCCCATCAATTCAATGCACACGCAGGCGAAATCTCCTCCCCTTTTCCACCCATTTTCCCCACCCTGCATTTCCCCCGCCCATGTTTTACGGTCACACATCCTCAATCCTTGTTTGGGAGATTGCATTTTGGGTCACCAGCCCGATTCGATACAAGATGCTGAAAGAAGCGTACCAACCGATGGGGGATAATAACACATATTGCTTTCCTGTGTTCACTCTTTCCCGCCCCACGCCCCGCAGATTTCCTTCCCAGCGAGGAAAACTTGCTGCTGTCACACTTCCTCCTTTTGGCCACCGCCTTTGTGCCTTTAAGAAAATTTCTAACAAGTTTTACAACAATGTCGAAGATGCCAGCGGCGAACACTAACAACCCGAGCAGCCGAACAACCGAACAACCCGAACAACAACATGCAGCACTTAACAACTTGGAATTGCTGCCAAACAGCATTTTCAATGTCAGGGCGAGGGAAACCAGAGCGGGCGACCCAGAGATAGATATTCGCATTAAGCTTTGGCGGGGAAAAATAATGTTACTTACTAATCAAGTCGAGGCTTAGGAGCTGGCCCTGGGATTTTACTCAATGGACACTTGACTGGCCGCCCAGGCAAATCAATGAAGCCAGATCAAAGCCAACCAGCCATGAATTTCGGTGGAGGGAAGGGGGCGATCCAATGGGGTCTGGGAATTGAATGGGCCTAGACGGGTCCGTAGCTTGTAGCTTCCTGTACGTAAGACCCTCCTCCATCTATTGGCTCGCATGTGGAACAAGCATTTAAGATTGCATCAGCATGTGGTCGCTCCGTTGGGCGAAAAAGGGGATCGGGGAACGGAGGGCTGAGCTGGGAGATCTAGTCTCCCTGGCAGACAATGCACGTATTTGCAATTTCGCATATCATGTTTGCATCTCTCGCTCCTCGCTGCTCCTTCATCATCATCCCCATCCCTATTCCCTACCCATACCCATAACCATGCCCATACCCCCATCATCATCATCATCATCATCGGCATGGTCGTGGTGCAGCATCTGCTCATCAGCGTTGAGGTGGCAAAGCTACAAGTTGGACCCGATCCTTGGCAGCAAGTCTGCAGATCCGCAGCATCGGAGGCATCAGCAGCTGCCCCATGGCGTCAAAATTGTGTGCAAGCCTACAAACGTTTACCAACACTCCCAGGAAAAGGGCTCGCACAGGGCGAACTATTGATTTCCAGGCACAGTGAAACTAATAAGCAGTTTTTACCCATAAAACTGAGATTCGTGCTATTAAATACTGGCTTGCAAATGTTTCTTAAACCTGTTGCCCATTTATCTGGACATTTGGGTACACATTTTATCTTTTTATTCACATCATGAATAATCAAGTTTGACTTTATAAAGAATGTAGGTATATTGATTGGCCTATTTTGAGGTGATAATTTAACTAAAATGTTTACAACTAGAAATTATAAAACATTCAATTTAATTTAATACACCAATTGCTAGAAATATCCATTTCCTTAATCAAATACTAAAAATATGAAAGATATTTGCTTTAAACGGTTTAAAGATTACTGAAATATTCGATATATCAATCCATACCTAAGGGAATTTATAAAATTCTAACTTGCAAGCTGCATTTGATTTTTTAGCAAGGTTTGTTTTAAGAAACTGGAAAAGACTACCCGACTGGTTTTATTACACATCTGGAGAAATGGAATACTAATGGCTTCTATTCGAAACTTGTTTAAACGCTGATGCTTTGCATTTGATGAGACCCATTCCACTTATCTTAATCTTTAACAGGGTTCTTGAAAGCAACCCATTAACTTTGGTTTATGGGTCTGGAAGAAGAATGCCTTAGACTTACTTTCAGAGAGTCTAGAATACTTTTACAACTTCGCATGTGGATCAACTAACAATGGGGTTATGGTCGTGAAATAGATCATTCTCTTGAGGGTCGTAACTTCAAATCGCCCTCGATGGGGGGCTATGGTGGAGTGACCACTGTGGCGAACTCCTCCATCTGGAGTCCCTTAAAATATCTCGGTTCTGTGTTCATAGCTGGTAATTAGTGTTGTTGTACTTATTGGCTTTGGCCTTGGGGCGCGTTACCACCACCGAAATGGCTGAAATGGGAAGAGGTTGCGAGTGGCTGCAACACGACGTTTATCGCGCGCTCGCATCGGGTTCTTAAGGCAACTAACCCCCAGTCCCCCCACTCATCATCGGACCCTCCCATATAATGCACCAAGGGAACCAGCCTTCTGGCCATGTTATCTTGATCGTTGGCCCGTTTTCCCTGGCCACCTTTTACCTCTCGATCGCCTTGACTGCACGTTCTTTTTTTTTGCTGGCCTGCTCTTCATATATGCATAATTCTTGTTTTTACAATTTAGCAGCGATAATGATTTTATATATACATGGCAATATGGTCACGCCCCCTTTGGGCCAGATTGATTTGCCGGTTTGAGTGCTTCCCCCGCTGCTTTTAATCAATGCTAATCCATGGGCTTGATTTGTTCCATGCTCCTCGCATGTCTATTGCTATTTATGGCCCACACACACCCAATATATATGTAGATTTGGATGTTTATATAGAGATCCCTTTCGGAAAATCCCCTCAGCATTAAGCGAAATAACGGTACTTTGGCATATTATGTTACTTTTATGCGGAAAACATGATGATGAAACACAGGCACGCAGGCGAAACACCCGATATGTCAGTCGCCTTCCCTTCGCACACACGATGGCATTTGTCATGTGGCCACGCCCCCTTCCTCTATAGCACATAGCAGCCCACCCGCCCCCTTTTCCACCTGCTGTCGCTGTCTATAACAAAACATTTATAGCTTCCTGTCACGCTCAGGCGTGTCCCTCGAGCTGTGTTCGCTGCGATTGTCTCCTTTTGTCCTTCCGCCCGCCCCCGCTTAGCCGCCGACGGCCCCACAAATTCCAATACCCCGCCCCTGCACTCGACCCCCTTTTGGCCAGAACAGATGCCAGAACATGGAAATATAACGCATACGCCACGCCGGTCTAGGAATTCAAAGGAAAAAAACTGTCAGCTTCGATTTGCCAAATGCACAAAAGTTGAAGCAGAATTTACAAACAGAAGTTGAGAAGAAAAAGTTGACAAGTGATTGATCAATTATCACTTACCTTGATTGAGATAAGTTCAAGTACAAAAGAAGTTTGCAGAAAAATATGCAAAATTTGAACTGTATTGGAAAGTTTCAAGATAAGAAAAAAAGGAAAAAATAGAAAAATCAAATGAGGTTTAAGTAAAATTCCATTTTCAAGATCACACATTCAAGGATTTAAGGATTGCAATTGGTAATTATTCTAGAATGAATGCTTAAAAAAATAAATTACCTTTTTAATTAAAAGTTTTATTAATGTACAGTCAATACATTTTATGTACTCAATGAATTGTCATCTTTTTATTTATTATAGTTCAATTAAAAATGGTATTTAATTAGTTTAATAACATTTAATATCTATTAATTAAATCAACGTTAATGATTAAAATGAAAACCGATTATTTATACCCAAAACTTCTAAGTACGAGCTAAGAAATGAGAATTTGAAGAAATAACGTTGTTCTTTTTTAGGAATATAAATAATTCAATGTCGTTTAATGCGTACGTATAATTGATTTATGTTGACATATTCAACAAAAAGGCAGCAAATGATTTATAAATTTGTTACACTCAGAATTGCCCACTGTGATTTATTAAATGTGAATAATGGTCAGTTAAAGCAAAATAAATGAAGAAAATGTCAGGGAATGCATTGATTAATTTAATTGTATGTTATAAAAACTTTTTGGCGAACAGAAAATAATTTCCACACATAGCAGATAAAGCTAGAGATTTATGGCGATGTAAAAGCACCTATAGCTGCACATAATGTACAACTTTGTAGGACTCATCTTTGTTCAAAAGGGCGTGACCATAATTGGGTTACCTCGACTCGAACCCCGCCAGACGAAAAGGACAACAATTGGTGGAAAAGAAATCGACAGCGCTGCTGGGCGGAATCATTAATATCGAAAGAGGCCATAAATATGCTACAGTGAATCAATAAAAGACATAAAATCCAGTTACAGTCCCTCCTCCGCGCCCTCGGGCTATATTTTTTTATTGTTTTTTATTATGATGATGCGTGTGCGAGCCCAGCATGCAAAAAAGTTCATTACGAAAGGGGTGTGCGACTTAGGATTTGAGGAAGGGCAAAAAAGGAGCCGCGAACTAAGGATGCAGGCTGGAGTCCTTGGCGCACGCGTGAATATTCCGCAATGAAGTTGTAACTACGGCAAGCGGCGACAAATCATAAAATTTATGAGTTTGGGTACCCCTTCTCCCAGCTCTTTTAAGCCGCCGCCTCTTGGCAATTTAATGGTTTTTCTCTTATTTTCCATTTTTGTGCGAGCGAATTTATTGTCGGCTGATTGGCCTCTTGGTTAGGCTCCTCTCTAGCATAATGCGGTTGGAATCCTCGACGGATCCCCGACCCCTGAACATTCCCACTCGGACTCATCCCACTTATTTCCTAGCCTTTTATGGCTTTTTATTTTGCCAGCTAGCTTTTTTATGCTTATTGAAATTGAAATGATTGTGGTAATTGAAATGTTTTTGCATGGCTGAAAGTTGGCCACTGGGAATGGCTAGAATGTGTCCGCTGCTTCAGAAATATGTTTCTCAATTTGGATGGACACTAAATCGGGCAGAAGATTTTAGCTAGAAGAGAACCAGTTAATAGGGCTATTTAGTATTCGGTTAGGTTTTTATGGGCTTTTAATTGAACCGGTTTAGCTTGGGACCTTAACTTCAAAACTTTGAGTTTGATTTTAGATTGGTTTTCAATATGAAAATGTCTTCTAGGGTGCTTAAAAATATATGAGCCCTTTGTCTTCATAGAGATTTAAATCGATGTCTACTTTTATGATTATGACTAGCAAAAACAACTGCAAATAGAGTTCATAAACCTTTTTAAAATTGAATAAACATTTCTTTTGAATTTTAATTTTTTCTTAAGGTGTTTTTTTTTTGGCCCAGCTCTGAGTGTTGGATTATAAGAGTTATGCGGTCTAATACCTTTAAGCCAAAAAACTCTAACCAATTTAAAGTTTATTTTCCTCAGGCCTTAGAGAGATTAAGTTCAAAATTCGAATAACAGTGAATTTATGCAAAGAAAATACTTTTAATTAAATTTGTAATCCCCCCAAGCAGCGACTCAGGTTGTGTCTGAGTATGTCTTCTCAGAATTTTCCATTAATGTTGTCCCGTTTTCCGAAGGACAACGAGCACGCACACAGAGGCAGGACACAGACAGGCATTCAGGCGATGCCCAATAAGTGTCACTTGTGGCTGACAAATCGCATAAAAAGCAGATGCAAATTCGGGAGCCGGGGAAATGAGGGCTGCGCTGGGGAAAGCTGGAGTGGAGGTAGCAGCTGAGAACAGGGAATTCATATTTCCATGCAAATGCAAATAACAAAATAATAAAATGCACTGCAAGGAGACAAACAGTGATAGCATAGAACACGCAAGGGTGGGCGGTGGAAAATGGGCTGGGAAAATAGGAGCAGGGTGCTTTCGCACACTCGAACGTATGAGGAAATTTGCAAGGCAAACGATTTTTCATGACCCTGTGAAGCTGTATCCTCTGATGATGGCAACTTTTCATGTGCAATGCACCAGGAACTGAGTGTTTGTCCTTGTATTTTGTCGTAAATTTCACGCATAACAAAGCTTTATCTTCATCCAGCTAGGTGCTCAGTTTACCTTTGACTCGCAATTTGGGCGAAAATATAAAGTGATGTCGACATTTACTTACCATTTCTCTCTATATCTCTTTCAGACACTAAAAAAGTGATTGATCCTCCGAGCAACTTTGAGGAAAATCCCGGCGAGTTGGGAAAAGCAGTGCGTCTGCCCAAGGAAATGTCTGAGGAGATGAAGAAGGCCGTGGATGATGGCTGGACCAAGAACGCCTTTAATCAATATGTCTCCGATCTGATATCCGTTCACCGAACCTTGCCCGATCCCCGAGATGCCTGGTGCAAGGATGAGGCGCGCTATTTGACCAACTTGCCCAAGACCGATGTAATCATTTGCTTCCACAACGAAGCTTGGACTGTGCTGCTGAGAACAGTACACTCAGTTTTGGACAGATCGCCGGAACATCTAATTGGCAAGATTATCCTGGTGGACGACTACAGCGATATGCGTAAGTTTGGAGTAGCCTTTAACTTTTATCCAAACCCTTAATGATCAAATATTTCCCCCTTTTAGCTCACTTGAAGAGGCAGCTGGAGGACTACTTTGCCGCCTATCCCAAGGTCCAGATTATCAGAGGCCAAAAGCGAGAGGGTCTTATCCGAGCACGAATTTTGGGTGCCAACCACGCAAAGTCAGCGGTTCTCACCTATTTGGACTCCCATTGCGAGTGCACGGAAGGTGGGTTGGAAACTAAGTGAATTAAATATTCAAGCTGCTCTTTTTTCTACCTCTCTATCGGCATTTCCATTCAATTTGCAATACTGTCAATATGCTAATTGCCCAAATTAAGCTTTTAATTGACTAACCAACTTTCGTTAGTCAGTTTCTGGTCCATAAAAAATTCAGGTTAAATAAATATTTGAAATACATATGCCAACGACAAACCGAAACAAAAGTTCACTAAATATTTGAAAAGTATTTGCCAATGACAAACCGAAATCAAAGTCAAAGAATAATGCTACATTTCCATGGAGCCTTGGAATGATTTTACAATCTTCTTCTGTTAACTGAGATTTGCTCAATTCCCAACGGACTCTCGTTTATTGTCGAGAGTAATGTTCTTTTGTGATACTCAATTTTGATGACCATCAAACGAAATCCGTCGGGACGAAAACGATGCCAATAAAACAAGATCCCAGCTCTGGAAAAATCACTTAATCTTCGGTATTAGGCCGACTCTGTTTCTGTTTTTGCCTCGCATTTTCTCCTTTATTAAGCTGGTGAAGAGCGATAAGTAAACCTACGGAAAAGGCAATCAATTTAGTTTATTGGGCAACTTGGCAACTGATTGCTGAAAAGTAAACAAAATGGGCACAAAGGAAATACATTTTTCTCTCTCGTTCATTGATTTGCGGAAAAGCAATTAAGCTAGACTGTAAATGAACATTTTTGATCTTTTTGAGGGCTAGCTTGTGTCATTTAGCGTTATTAATTGATATCCTTTTGCAGGATGGCTTGAGCCCCTTTTGGACCGCATTGCCCGCAACGCCACCACTGTCGTATGTCCAGTTATTGATGTCATTAGTGATGAGACTCTTGAGTACCATTATCGAGATTCTAGTGGAGTTAACGTCGGGGGATTCGATTGGAATCTGCAGTTCAGTTGGCACGGGGTTCCCGAACGTGAAAGGAAGCGGCATAATGTAAGTAAACTTAAAACTTAAGTAAACTTGAAATCTGTTTTAAAAGGATATTATGGAACATTTTTTAAAAATGTACAGTTAGTTAGCTTCTGACTTACCAGAAATAGTCTTTTAAAAGATTTATATTTCCATTCTTTTTGTAACTTGTAAAAACGTATTTCAATTAATAGTTTCTTTCTGTGTACCACAAAGGATATAATATCCCCCTCGAAATGAGCGGTTTTTGTGCGGTTGACTTAAACATACGTGGCTATTTATACCGTTGTATTTGCTTTTAGTTATGTTTGTTTTACGCCATGGTTACCAGGGTTTCAACCCCATCCTCCAACTTTGTGCCCTAACCCCGTTTGGGGAGTTTTTTCCCATTGGAATGCCAAAAACATGAAGCCGCTTAAAGCGCTAGAACGTGACTACAAAAACTGAATGTTTGCCGTGAAAAGGGAATGCGGCTGTCAATGCAAACACACATTCACGTGCCAGGGCCGAAGAGGGAAATGGAAACAAACACCCATTCACACGTACAGGCCACAAAAGTGTCGTTTGCAATATGAGCTATTAGAACTAAGAGTCGTTTCCTTCGCGCAGATGAGCTTGCAAATTTATGTATGTTCGCTCCAGTTGGGCCGTAGCTAAAGCCAAACTTATAGCCTTGGTTAGTCATGTTTATGGGTGGATAGTGCCGGATAGCCGTAAAGCATTCCAGAATTTTTAAAGAGCAATAAAAGTTATAACCGTAAAAACGGGGATTCTTAAGGTTTACATTAAGAAAAGCGGCAGCTTCACTATTACTAGCTTATTAAAGGACTAGGGGGTTTTTAGAGTGCATTGAGCAATTAAAATAGAGACCGAAATACTTCTTGTTCGTAAAAGATTTTTGATCTAGCACTTTCCGATATTTAATCAGTTTATTTATTTCGCAACCTTATAGGATGCTGAATTTATTTCAACGTTCGCTGGAAAGTAACACTTATTTCCCCACCTTTTTTCAATATCCACTTATCCTTTCGAACTCGCAGAAATCGTTTGGTTATTTTATGACCGCCTGTGCCCAACACGTACAAACTTTTCCCATACACTGACAAGCAATTAGATACTCCCGCGCACACACTCACACGTAGAAAATCGGAAGGGTTTGTGAAAGGAGCAAAGAGCTCCGCAAATGGACATTCGAAACTGTCGATGGGTTTTCAGATCCGTCGACAGCTGCGCTGCTGCCCGCCGTGTGAATGGGGAAAAGTCCTTCTTGGCTCAGCCATTTTCCGCTTTTCACGTGGCATACCTTCTGGCGCAAATGCAATCCACGATTGCCGCTGGCTATGCACATTCCATTTTATTATTTGTTTAACGCTTTAATTAAAAGTTCATAATTACACTGTTCTCCCTTTGATTCTTGTGTGTGAATTGCCTTAATGCCTGGCACATGGAGCAGATATATTACGCATACGCCGCCTGTGGCAAGGCCACAAATTGCAAATGGCTGCGGAGAAGGAGGCGAAACGCGGGCCATGACACTGCAATTAAAAGCCAAAAATGTTAACAGCAAATTTTCGTCGTCTGTTTCTGCTTCAGCTTTGGCTTGGGCTTCTGTTTCTGTTGCATCGCCCTTTTGCGGCGTAAATATCTGGCATAATTGTTTTTACAAGCGCCAAGGGGATTTATGGCAGGATTGTTGCCGAAAAATCCTGGCGCAGGCCGGAATTGTTGCTGCTTCCTGGCAACATGCGGCGTGGAAAATTCTGTCTCCGTCCTCGCCTCAAGTTGCACTTAGCAGCTAAATCAAGTAAAGCATTTCCCGTCTGCAACAACATTGGCAATTTGCCGACCGACTTGCGGAAGGCAACTGCTGCTGGAACCCATAAATGTTGTTGCTCATGGCATGTGAGTGTGTGCTTCGAAAGGGAGGAGATAATGGCCGACGCGGAGAATTTTCCGCTTTCCCCTGCAAATGACAGTGAAAAGTTCTTGCTGGAAAAGGGAAAATTAAAGGGGCTGCGCCAAGTAAATGTTTAAGCTCTCCTCTCAACCGATTGCTAATTTCTAATATCTGTTTGAGTTATGCCATGCCAGGTGGCACAAACAAAGCTCAAAGCCTGAGAATGTATAAACTCCATCCCCTTTCAGGGATTTTCAACTGCCGGCGGGCACAGATGTTGACAGTCCCAAAGCTGCCTGAACGAAAATCCTTCCAACAACTTCTGATGTCTGTCCAAAGTTGCTTAACTTGTTACGAGTTGGCAGCAGAGGAGCAACACAGCAACAGCAACAATAATAACACTAGCATGGGGAATCAAAAATACATATTCGTTATGGCCAATGCCATTTCCCCTGCACTCGAAAGTTGCTACTTCAGCTTTTGTTTGTATTTCCTTGGCGGGTCCTGGGTCCTGCTGCTGCTCCAAGGTAAAAGTTGAGCTGCTTTCAGCTGGCTCTTTATATATTTCTATTTTCCAGAGTAAAATCCCCGAATTGAAACTGCAAAAGAGCTGGGGACGCGGCTAATGGCTTTCCTCTCCTTCAGCAAATCAATCAAATCCAATTTTGAAAAGAAAAATCCCTCCAAATCTTGGACAGTTAATCATTTCGAGAAGTTTCTTAAGTTGAGCACAGTGAATCCTGTTTATTTAAAAGAATATCGTTGGGTATATCTCAGTTACCTTATTTGCCTGGGCAAAGCAATATTAGAATTTAAATATTTAAGAAACCACAGCAAATAACATGAAAACTAATTCGCTTCGTTGGCACAACACCGCAGGCTGTTAAATATATATATACATATATTTTCTGTGTGGCAAAGCAGTGAAAACTAATCCACGCAACGAGGGAAAAAATCTCGAATGAAACTACGGGTGCAAACAAATTCACATAGAGCAGATCCCGGGGACGGGGAGTGGGGAGTAGTTGGCTGCTGTGTGTGCAGGGCGTTGAAACACTAATCCAATTATTTGAGTATAAAGAGTAGCAGAAGCGGCAGCAGCAGCAGCTATAGTAAAAACTTATTCGATAGCGTGGCTAGGGCGTATGCGCAATATGCGTCCTAAGGCAGCCAAAGGCAAACGCAAACGCACATGGAGCACTCATACGCAATGTTGGCCAAAGCGTTTAACTATACATAGAGAGGCCAAATATACATAAAGCAGAGTATGCCTGAAGTGCCAAATCCCCGCAGCACGCGCTCTCCGTTCCTCCCTTTTTTTATACCCACAAATGGTATACCCTTGTCTCTTAGCCAAAATACAGGAGAACTTCTATAACTTGAACGTGAGTGGAATTTGTGTCTAACTAGGAATTTATTGAAATTTGATTGGCATTAGCATTTAGGGGGCGAAATAATAATAACATTAATATAAAGCAATCTTCAAACTATTAGTAAATGTAGAATTCATCAGAAAATAGTGGTTTCTTAGATAGTTTTAAGATTCTCGCTAAACTGTTGATCTCGTGTAATTTTCTTAAAGTGCCTTGTGCTCATGCTTTTACACAGTAAAGTTTTTCATGTTCGCCCCATGGAAGCCCTGCTGTAAATAGAAAATTGTGGGCAAAGTTTACCTTTAAAAATTGTTTAGGCTGTGCCCCGTGGCTCGTCGCTTCCAATTCCGGCCTGCCGTATATATGCATGTGTAATGGGGCCTGTGCGGAAAGGTAAATGCTTTCTAATACCCCAAGAGATGGCAAGTGGTTGGGTATGGAGGACCAAAGATAGAGCTGCTCTCATCTCGTCCATTGCACGTTTCATTTCATTTCTTTCGTTCGGATTGTTGTCCCTCCCCCTACCGAGAGCCTTTTTATGCCTTTGTCTGCCAGTTGCTGTTGTAGCTGTGAAATCGTGCATGCCACAGAGCTATATAGCTGCCGAGTTTGAGTGTGTAATACGCTGCGTATGCGAAATTTTCGACGTTCTCGCTCCAATGACAAATGTTGAGCAGTCAATTCTGAGCTTTCGTTGCCAGCTTTTCGGGTACTCGATGGTCGGGGGTGTCAGCCACTCTGGTTGCTTTAATGATGGAGCAGATTACGTATTTTCTGTCAAAGTCAATTGGATTTCGGCTATTCATCAGAGCATAAAGAGCCTGGGGCGCAGAAGTCACAGCGAGTGCCTACATATTCCCCCGTGTTATTGTGTTATTTATGAACGGCGAGGACGGGGGAAATTAATGTCGAGCATACATAAATCGATATGTATATGAGGGCAGATATGCACAAAGGGAACCAGAAGCGACTCAAACAAAAAGTGTGCAGAAATTTGTAGGAGGTTTTAGGATAGGTACAAATGAGCAATCTTTGTTTGCCGACTAAATAAGGTTTCGTATTACCTTCACAAATATTCTTACAAGTTACCTCAAATATATTTTCATTAAGAACCCGTCATGCCAAACATAAACTCAAACCATTAGATGTTCTAAGGTTCTTTATGACATTTCAAATATTTATGGGACACATATATCTTGATAAGGTATTTCTTTCACAAGGTCAATTAAACGTAAATCAAAGGGACTCCCATTTTAGTTGGTCAGACGGTACTTGACCGCCCGGAGGATGGGGTATTTCTCGTTGGTGCAGAGTCCTCGGAAATCGTCGTAGGACAAGTCGAAGAGGGCCACTCCTCCGAGGTTCTCGGTGCGCACATAGCCGGCCTTATCGGCGGCGGTATCGGGATCCTCGAAGCTCACCCAGATGCCATTGTCGCCCTTCTTGTCGGCTGCCCTGTAGGCATACGATCCGAAACGCTTGGCGGGATCCTGAACCTTGGTCAACGGGGCATTGGCGCCCTTGGAGTAGGCGTTGTTCTGGTTCGGCAGCAGGGCGCACACCTCCGGCCAGCTGTAGATGCCAGCCACCTGGGTGTTGCCACCCACCGGAGCCTCGTCCTTGACGTCCTTGACCGGGGGAAGACCGGTGTCTCCAGAATCATCCGTCAGCTTCCAGGGACGACCGTAGGTGGCCACACCCACGTTGATCTTGCTGCCGGGGCAGTTGTTTCGCAGCCAGTATTTTACCTGAGC